TATACATAAGTGTCCGGTGTGCCGCAGATTTACGCGGCTCTATTTTTACTGCACGGGGAGGATTTGAACAGTCTCATGGCTTGAGGGACAAATGACTTCCTGAATCTGATGCAGTTCTCTCTTGTAAATGAGTCCCTGTGACTTAAAGAGACTAACCTGTATAAATAAAGGCTGAATGAGTCTGTCCATGGAGCAGGGCTGGGACAGAAGTCTTCCACTGAAGGAGCTCCTCTGCTTCATGATGGTGCCGTGCAGAGGATGGTCAGCATTGTCCATGATGCATAGTAGCTTACTGAGGGCCCTTTTCTCTGCCATCAATGAAGGTCATTAAGCCATAAAACTGGACAAGCTGTCTGTTGGCACTGCTTCAGCATGACCGTTTCATTTAGTTTTAGATTAACAACGGTTTATAGCCATTTCACGTTGTTCAAATCCCTCATGTTTAATTATGCTGTCAGTGCTTTATTTGCAGGTGATAACAAGAAGATGGAGGGTGTTAATTAACGTTCAAAAGTGTTTTAATGTTGTTAAACCTGTCCACTCTGTCAGCTTCATCACAGCTGGCACCACACACGTTTACTGCAGCGTTTTCTGGCTCTGGTGCTCCATTTGAATCATAAAATAATATGATTTGGGTACATTGTTATATATATATATATATATGTTATATATATATATAAATGTAGAACATGTATGAGGAAAAACATCTGAAACATTTACTGTGAAATGAGCTTCATAACTTTAGGCCTTAGTTCTTTAAAATTCATTTGTACGTGTTTTTTATATATTTTTTGGTTTAAATGCCATCACATTGCAATAATTATTAGACACATTCACTCAGATTGTCATAGCAACCTGGGTTAGATTGATTTGAGCAATTAATATCATTAACGGCTTAACAAAAGGTGTATATCACGCTGTCTTTCATGTTTTAGGCAAAGATAATCTACTGTTGAGAAATGACAGTTGTAATAATTTTGGTCAAAACATGTACATGACTTTATGTACAATTTCATTCAGTAATGTGAGATGTACTGGTTGGATCATGACATGAACTTTTTTAATGTTTGTTCAGTTTTTGAGTATTTTATAGTGGTTCAGAACTTGTCTTACCATATTATCCTGTATTAAAATATAATGCAGTAACTCACCCACCAATTTGGGAGTTAAATAAATGAATTAAATATCAGCATAAATACTCACATACGAATGAAGATTAATTTCTAACAGTTTAAGAGTTTGGGAAAACCTCTGACTTTCCCTCAAGATGCTTTTTATAATTGCACAGAAACATACAGTAAAAGAGCTCAAATGTATTATCCAAAACAGACACAAAAAGAAAAGCAGAACTATTCTTGTAAGTGGATTTGTGTTTCGCACCACAGGTCTCCTGGAGAGCAGCATGCGCCTGAAGCCCCATGAGGCCCAGAACTACAGGAAGAAGGCTCTCTGGGTGTCCTGGATCTCCATCGTGGTCACCCTCATATTGGCTGTGGCAGCTTTCAGTAAGCATTTAAAAACACACAACTGAAAGCATCCAACATGTTGTAGCATTAAGTGACTCTGCTGGATGTTAGTGTTCAGCGGTGAGTAAACTTCAACAGATCATTTCTCATGTCCTTGCTGACTCAGAGAAGATGCTGGGATCTAAACTTTCATCCAAAAATGGTATTTATTAAACAAACTTCAAATGGCACAATAAAACATTTAGGTGATATGTCTGCAAAATAAACACTGAAATTTGTTGGTGTGAAGTTGTTAGAATAAGATATTGCACCTAATCAAATTTAAAAAGCCTGTAACTGTTTTTGTTAAGAAGTTGTTTGCATCCTTTGTGTGTGTGTGTGTTCATATACGGTATTGAGTTTCAACACGGTGTGTACTGTTCTGTGTGTGTGTGTGTGTTGCACTTTCTGTTTGTAAAAGAGTACTGTAATAACTAAAGCAATCTCTTTTCTCATCCTTGAATGATAATTTGTTTCAGATGTACAGTTTTTCCAGGTCTTTTTTTTTTTTTTCATATTACTCATCTTATAATGCAGACGTTCTCTAAGTCTAGAATTTGGTTCATATTCTTACGGAACAACAAGTGAATCTAAATCTAGTTCACATGATTTTTTTACTGTAGTGCATTGAAATGCATTGGTATGATAAGCTAAGATGAGATAAGTTGATATATGATGAGATGAGACATGATGAGATGAGTTACAATTAGATGATATATGATGAGATGATATATGATGAGATGATATGAGATTATATGAGATATGATGAGATGAGATTAGATATGATGATATGATATGAGATATGATGAGATATAATGAGATGAGATGTGATGAGATAAGAT